ATATGGCAGGAGCCCTTGCCGGGATCGGCATAGGGAACGCAACAGATGGCAGGGATAGGGAACGCGAATGGTATCTGAACCACGCGATTTGGACTCTCTATAAACCCGAAGTCTGTTGCGGCAATGCCACTGGCAATAGATCTCCTCTCGCTGTCTCTCTCTCTCTCTCCTTGTCTCTCTCTCTCTCTCTCCTTCTCTGTGTGTGTGTCTGTCTGTCTGTCTGTCTGTCTGTCTGTCTGTCTCTCTCTCTCCCCTTGTATGTCTCGGTCTGTCTGTCTGTCTCTCTCCCCGTGCGTGTGTGTGTGTGTGTGTGTGTGTGTGTGTGTGTGTGTGAACTGTAGGGAGAAAATTTCGTCTCTATCGCTGGACTCGTGCCCATGTTTCCTGCGTGTCCCTGAAGAGGGGGGGAGGGAGGGAGGGGAGGTGGTGGAGGGGGAAAAGGGGGAAATAGGGGGAAATAGGGATGGGCTTCTTCCGCTCGTGTTCTAGTCGTTGCATGAGGAAACGATTTAAAGAACCTTTTTTTTTTTTTTTTTGTCCCCTTTGCCGTATTCTTCTCTTCTTGGGCGTTTGCTATATAGATAATTAATTATTTAATCATATCCGTTTTGCGAATGGTCGATCTTTTTTTTTTTTTTTCATTTTTTTTTTTTACTCGTTTTAAATTCAGAAATGGTTTGTTTAATTGGAGTTAACATTGTTTTTTTACGCAATTTCTTATTATTACTTTTCTCCTCGTTTTAAACTCGACCTTACTATTTCCGATCACAGTGCCATTCGTTTTTTTTGTTTTTTTTTTCAATATTTTCCGTTTTATGTCCTTCTTTTCTCTCTCCCTACATCGTATCCTCCCCTCTCTCTCTCCTCCCCTCTCCTTTCATCCGCTCCCTTTGCCCCCCCTCCCTTTGCTCCCCCTCCCTTTGCTCCCGCTCCCTTTACTACCCACCGCTTTTCAGTAATTCAAATAGTTTTAACTAAAAAATAGAGGCATATGGGTGGTCATCATATGCCACAATTAATATGCCAGAATTAATAAATTCAAATAAATCTAACTAACTAGGAGGGGCCTTTGTGCAACAACGAATGTCTACAAGTCACAGTAATGCACACAATTATCTTAATTTCTGTAGACTTTATCCAAAATATCCAAAGTTATCGAAAATTATATCCGAGAATTATATTCAAAATTATAAATTACATTCAAAATTATATTCAAAACTAACTATATTCAAAACTAACTATATTCAAAACTAACTATATTCAAAATTATATTCAAAATTTCGCAGAGTTGTCCACGCGCAGCCTTTCGACAATAATGGGACAATGATTGATGCAATTGAGCACACAAGCATGGGACAATGAATATAGACATTCTAGGGATTTCGGGTAAATAT